AGAGAGAGAGAGAGAGAGAGAGAGAGAGAGAGGAGGGAAGGAGGGAAAGAGGAAGGGAGGGAAAGAGGAAGGGAGGGAGGGACGGACGGACAGAAGGTGGGTGTCTCTCAGCTGGCTACTCTGGAACGGCTGGTAGCTCCTGTGTAAAGGCTGGTGGCAGATAACGTCTGGGAGTGATCGAGGCCCAGGACACCTCAGGACTCCACATACTAGGGCCCTATTACCTGGGCTAGACAGATGTCCTGGAAGTAAGGGCAGGATCTCTTCATCATCCTCTCTCTTCAAGACCAGCGCAAAGAAAGCAGCAAAGCCCAGCACCTGGAAATCACCTTGTGTGAGCCCAAGGCTGCAGGGACCTCTCAAGGCCTGAGACATGGGGATTGGCCATTCCCACAGAAGGAGGTCAGTATGAGGATGGAGGGCTACCCCCAGTTGGAAAGGCTGACAAGCCTTGAAACTTCTCAGAGCTTCCCACTTTGCTGCCCAGCTACCCAGAGCATCTCTCACTTCTGACCCCACCTCACCCCATCCCCACAGCTCTGCATCAAGTGATACAGCCTGCAACCCATTTGTCTATTATGCCCAAGCGAAGGGGACCCTGCAGTTTGATTTGGAACTCTGGGGACACACTCCGGCTCTTCCTAGTCTTCTAGCCTTGGCTGGTGGAATTGTCACAAAAGCTTTTAAGTCTTATGGAAGAGACCATTCAGGACTAGGGAGGGAGCTCAGGTGGCAAAATGCTTGCCTGGCATGCACAGAGCCCTGGTTTGAAGGGAGTGCTTATGTTAACAGCATGATAGCACACACCTAGAGTCCCAGCACTAAGGAAGTAGAGGCTGGAAAATCAGAAGTTTGAAGGCCAGCCTCAGCTAAATAGTTTGTGACCACCTTGGGCTATATGACCTTATCAATAGATAAATGCATACATATAAGTCAGAGTAGAATATCAAGGTAGATGGAGGAAGGATTTGAGATGTCCCACAGGAGTAAATATTCCAGGGGCTGGGTTTGGTAATAGTGCATATCGACAGTTTCAGCACTTGGGTAGCTGAGGTGGGAGGATTGCCATCGATTCAGAGTGAGTCCTGGCTACAGATCAAGTACCAGGCTAGCCAGGGCTACATAGGAAGACACTGTCTCAAAAACCAAACAAAACCAAGTAACCTGAGAAGAGTCCCAAAATGGTCGCTTTACTTTTACAGTTTTCCTGATCCCCTGCCCACTGGCAACTGCCCGGCTCCTTCCAGAGGCTGGTCTGTCCCTGCTCCCCGCTGAGTCTAAGTCTGGGCTTAGTATCCAAGGCTAATATGTTCCCACATAACTTTAACATATGCATATATATATATATATGCTCTATGTAAGAGATGTTTGTGATCTTTTGGTGGGAATGCTGGGATTAGACCAGGATCTCGTGCACGCTAGGCAGGCGTTCTACTTCTGAGCTACATTCCCCAGCTTTATGAGTTCTCCACGATAAATTTTCCCACAATCCTGAAGGTGATGATGATAACGAAGTGTTATACTGGGGAACAAGTCTTTTGGGCTATTCTGGTATTATCTCCATTATCCCTGCTCCGGTGTCAGTGCAGCGGTAACAGCTCATGTGTTTGTTAAATGAACATTAAAAAAAAAAATAGCTATGCTTGAAAAGGAACCAAGAGCCGGGCAGTGGTGGCACACGCCTTTAATCCCAGCACTTGGGAGGCAGAGGCAGGCGGATTTCTGAGTTCGAGGCCAGCCTGGTCTACAGAGTGAGTTCCAGGACAGCCAGGGCTACACAGAGAAACCCTGTCTCGAAAAAAAACAAAAAAAGAAAGAAAAGAAAAGGAATAAAGCACGGGAGGGTAAAGGTGGCTAGCAGGGTGTTCTGACCTTCAGGGGCTGGGTGATGAACACACTCTCCACGAAGGACACAGCCATGGAGATAAGCCACTTGAGGGAGCTGACTCGTCCATAGTGCAGGCCATACAGCATCGTGAAGAAGGCCGCCACCCCGCTGGTGGTCGCCACCAAGAGCCAGCCCACCAGGACACACCACCAGGGCAGGCCACGAGGGGACTTTCTGTCCCTAGGCGTGCTATAAAAGAGGTTAGACCGACACAGTTAGGGTGCCGCCTGAAGACCCACATCACAATCCCGATCTGTCCTCATCCTCCAGACGGCCTTGTGCGAGCTGCCTGACCTCTGGTAATCTGTTTCTCCTCTGTAATTTGTACCTGCCTGGAAGAGCTGCTCTATAGGCTGCCGTTCGTCCAGTGCTGGCTAGGGGGCAGTCTCTAACAGCAAGCCTCGAAGGCTGGTTCTATGTCATTAAAAACATCTTTTATGATAAAAGAATCTTGTCATACAAAAGGCATCAAGCCAGGAACCTCCCCAACCCCCCCCCCCCATCAGCTGCTTTCAACAACGCTCCCCATCGTGTCCGGCACACCCCTCATACCCTCCTTTTTCCTTTTGGAGGGGGGAAATATTAAAAACACATTCCAGGCATAATACAAGATCATCCTCAGAAGACCTCTCAAGAAGGGTCATTTTCTGAATAATTAATAACAATTTTTTTATTTGTTGACTACCAAAAGCTGTGTGTGTGTGAGCTATGGAAAGACAGCCCTCGGGTCTCCAGAATCCTAGGTGAGTCTATTACCACTGAGCTATCACACACACACACACACACACACACACACATGAAAAGAGAGAGATGACTCCGTGTTTAAGAAAACTTTACTGCTCTAGCTGGAGACTAGCATTTCAGGCACCTCACAAACACTTGTGACTCCAGTTCCGAAGGATCCAACACTTTTTTTTTTTCTTTTTTTCTCGAAACAGGGTTTCTCTGTGTAGCCCTGGCTGTCCTGGAACTCACTCTGTAGACCAGGCTGGCCTCAAACTCAGAAATCCGCCTGCCTCTGCCTCCCAAGTGCTGGGATTAAAGCCGTGCGCCACCACTGCCCGGCTACAAATTTTTTTTTAAAGAACACAGAGTTAGGCATTTGTAGATCACAGCACTCAGGAGGCAGAGGGAGGTGGAGGATTTCTAAGTTTGAAGCCAACCTGGTCTACAAAGTGAGTTCCAGGACACCAAGGGCTATACAGAGAGAGCCTGTCAACAACAAAAGCACCAAGAAAAATGGAATATCGGAACTGGAGAGATGGCTCAGTGGTTAAGAGCACTGGCTGCTCTTCCAGAAGACCTGGGTTCAATTCCCAGTAACTGCATGGCAGCTTATCACTGAAACTCCCAATTCTCTTCTGGCCTCTGCAGGCACATAAGCTGGAGACACAGACATTGAATGCAGGCAAAAACAAAAGAACAAACCAATCAAGCAAAACACTGGGTAGTTTTAAGTCAGCTTGCACAGCTAGAGTCCTCAGAGGAGAGAGCCTCAACTCAGAGCACGTCTCCAAAAGATCTGGCTGTATGCAAACCCTCAGGACATTTTCTTAATCAGTGATCGATAGGACAGCCATGAGGTTCAAGCCAGTAAGCAGTGCCCTCCATGACCTCTGCATCAGCTCCTGCCTCCAGATTCCTGTCCTGCTTGAGTTCCTGCCCTGACTTCCTCCAGTGATGAACAGCAACGTAGAAATGTAAGCCACACAAGCCATTTACTTCCCATTGTGTTTTCAGTCATGGTGTTTCGTTAAAGCAACAGTAACCATAACTAAGACACCCAGCTTTGCTTGAGCTTGCTATGTAGCTCAAGCTGTTTTTGAACACGTGATCTTCCTGCTTCATCCTCCCTAGTATCTGGGATTATAAGACTGTGCATCAGGCCTGGCACACTCAATTCCGTCATCAAATAACCTGTCTTCAAAGCTAATTGATTATTTAAAAAAAAAAAAACTTGCAGAGAGACCCCCTATCGTACTTAAAGATGAGGTTCAACCCCCAGCACAAACAAACAAAACATCAAATAAATGGAAAAAATATCCTTTGGGTTTGAATTAGGAGATGTATATTTCAATCAGTGAAACTGAGGCACAGAAAGACTGAGACACTCACTGCTCCAACATTGCAGACTGGACAACAACAACCGCCACAAATAAGATCATGAACTGCAAAGTTCTGTGCAAAGGGCTGAGTGTCTTCCCACAAGTAACCCTATCCCCTTAACCCTTGATGGCTTTGAGGTTACTCAAGGGAATCCCTAGTTCCTTCTCCCTGCATAGTCTGGGTGGACATCTTTCCAAGGCTGGACAAGGTATCCCAGCCTATAGCTCCAGGCTGGAGAGGGCAGGTGTGTCCACTCAGCATTCAAGGAAGTAGATTACCTGGGATATGCCAGTGCCGGGGTACCAGGCTGTCCCCAGAGGTGACCCTTCAGGATGTGTAGCTGCCTGAGGGCCTGGGCCTGGCTGTGACGATGCAGGAAGCCTTGGGGCCCCAGCAGCCGCAGTTCCCTCTCTACGCGCTCCAGCTGAAGGTAGAGACACCACCTATAGATGCTGTCCTTCCAAAGGCCACTCTCCACCAGTTTGGGCTTGGGGTGCCATGTGTTCTCTACAAATCAAAGGGGAAAGTGACCAGAGGGTGGTAAGTGACAAAGAACCAGCTACAATAAAACCGGCAGCAGCCTCTTTGAGCTCCCCTGCTGCACGCCAGGTGTAGGAATTCCGAGGTGCAGAGGCTGGGCCCAAACAGCCAGCTAGTGGATCAACAGTCTTCTTTTAGCTTTTGATAAGGGACAGTCTGAAAATGGTGCTTACTTACAAAGAGAAGAGCGCACTTTCCCACACACCCTGCTTCTAACCCAGTGACTGACTTTAAGCGACCATTGTCTGGCCATTTCCCTCTGGAGTCTTTATTTTTAAAAATGATATGTATTACCTCTTATCTCTGTCTATTTCTGTTTCAATCTCTGTCTGTCTCTGACTCTGTGTGTTCCACAGTACTCGTGTAAGTCAGAGGATAACTTACAGGACTAGGTTCTCTCCTCTACCGTGTGGGTCCTGGGGATTGAACTCAGGTCGTCAGGCTTGGTAACAAGCCTCTTTATCCACCGATCCCTCTTGCTGGCTGCCCATCTAGACACTTTAAAGCCAACCCTAGATATGGGAACATCACATCTGCAAATCTTTATACATGGTTAGACTTGAATTTAAGTCCAGTCTTGCTCAGTGCCAATGATGAGGTAAGTCCTCGTTTTTTTGTTTTCACTTTTAAAAAAAATTCTTTTTTTATGTGTTCTGGTGTTTACCCACATCTGTGTGATATAGTATGTCTGTGTGCAGGTGTCAGATCCCACAAAACTGGAATTATAGACAGTTGTAAGCTGCCTCGTGGGTGCTGGGAATTGAACCCGGGTCCTCTGGAAGAATAGCCAGTGTTCTTAACCCCCGAGCCATCTCTCCAACCCTGTTTTCACATTTAAAGAAGTTATTTTACTATTTTCTCTCACATGTATGAGTGTGTGTTTACCACGTGTATATGAGTGCTACAGAGGCCAGAAGAGGCCATTGGATCCCCTGCATCTAGAGCTACAGGCAGTGTGACGTGGCTGCTTGGGACAGGATTTGGGTCCTCTGCAGGAGGAGCAGATCTTCCTAAGACCGAGCCACCTTGCCAGCCCTCTTCTCACTTTTTCTTCTTGTTTTAAAATATGGAACCTTCCAAGTGAGGCAGGTGTATGGACCTGGCATGCCTGCAATAATAAGTTCAAAGCCAGCCTGGTCTATGTAGCGAGACCTGTCTCATAAAACAAAAGTGTTTCAAATAACCAGAAGGGAAGGTAAAAAGCTGGAGAAGCACCTGCCTTCTCCAGGCTTCCTGGTGGCCTCTGCACATGGATACTGTGTGAAATGCTGGGGCTGGCCTGGAACTCAGCAACCTAATGTATCAGCCTCTTGAGTTCTGGGATTACAGGCTTGTACCACGGTGATCTACTCGGCAGCCAGACTTAAAGCTCACACCATTTCATTAAGCACATGAGTGTGTTTCTGCCAGAGATCAAGGCTGCAAAGGGCTACACCCTTAACTTCAAAATAAAAACACATAAAGAAGAAAGCAGCAATGGCATTATGAATGCTTAAGGTTCTTAACAATAATCCCGTCAAATATCTAACCAACGGTCATTTCCCCTGATTATATTAGGAGCTGATTTCCTCCTCTTCCTTCTCTTCTTTTTAAAGATGTTTAAACATTTATTTAATGTGTATGCATGTGCGCATGTGCCTGAGTGCAGCATGGCACACATCTGGAAGTCAGAGTATAACTTGTGGGAGTTGGTTGTCTTCCTCCAGGGATCAGACCCAAGCTGTCAGCTGGGGTGGGGTAGGGGAGGTGAGTGTGTATGCATGCATGTGTATGTATGTGTTTGATGCGTGTGGGCACCCACATACCAGGTGGATATAGAAATCTGAGGACAACTTGTGAGAGCGCTTTCTCTGACCAGGTGCTAGATTTGAACTCAGGAGGTTGGGCGTGGAGGCCAGCATCTTTAACCACCGGCCCCATTGCTATTTTTTTACAGTTTGTTGGAATTTCAGATTCTCCATATTTTTTTTTTTTGTCAGGGCTGGAGACAGAACCTAGGGAGGAGTCACATGCCCTGTCTCTATCCTCAGGCCCCCTAAAATGTTTTTCATGGATGTTATTGTCTTTGAGACAGTGATTCACGTATCCCAGGCTGGCCTCAAGCTTTTGGTGTTGCCAAAAATGACCTTGCCCCTCCTTTCCAATCCTCCTGATCGCTAAGTGCGGAGATTTCAGGCAGTCACCACCGTACCAGCTGAAAGAAATGTTTAAATATCTTATCTCTTTCATTTGTTTTAAATCGTAGAAGTGACATATTTATAATAAGCACAACACAGGCCAAGGAGATGGCTCTGAGGACACAGACCCTTGTCGCCAAGCTTGATGACCTAAGTGGTAGGGGGAAACAAGTCACACAAGTTCTCCTCTGACCTCAGAGCACACACTTACCCACATTCAATAATAAATGTCCTCACTTTTTTATTAAAGGAGCTGGAAGCTATGTGTGCTGGTACATGCCTGTAATCCCAGCATCTGGGAGATGGAGGCAAGGTCTGGATTTCCAGCCTGGACCACTCGGTTCCAAAGGACCACTTCCCTTTAAAGGGACTCTGGTCAGCTCAGTGTGAGCATGGTCCCGGCAGGCTTTGCCTTCTCTCCAGTTCCCTCTGCCTTGCTAAACTGTTAGACTGCATTCCTAAAGCTAGCCCCCAAGCTCCATTCCCTTATTTGGCCACTTCCTCCTCCTGAGACTGGGTACCAAGGTCCAGCTATCAAAGTATTGAAGTCCAGCAATCAAAAATCCCCTTTGGCTCACCTAATTAACATGTTCAATTAAAATTAAACACCTTATCCTAAAATGGGGTTTTTCCCTTTAACCTTTATAAACTATCATTTGCCTATGGGCCACATCTGTCTCTTCTCTATCCAGCGGCAGGTCTTTGTCTCTCTCCAAGACAAATACCCCTCCCCGCTCTTCCTTGCCTATTTTCTCCCCTCTCCTTTGCTCCCTTACCCCTGCCCTCATCCTCTATCTCCTGTCTTTGTCCCTTATCCCTGCCCTCTGTCCCTCTGGGGCAAAAAAAAAATCTCCTTTGTGCTGAGAACTTGGTCTTGGGGGTCCCGAGCCCTACACTCCTTTCACCTTTGGCCCAGAAGTGGGAAGGACTTACCTTTCGGTTTAACAGACCCTTGTGTGAAGGTGAAAGGGTCCTCTCTCCCTTTGGCTTCCTCCCAGAACCCCTGTCCTGCTGTGCTCTCTGGACAGATGACATCCTCCATTAAAGCGAGGAGGTAGTTAATGTCTACGGGGTTCACAGAGTCCCAGCCTGAGGCAGGGGGTGGCAATTTCAGGGCTTTAAACAGTGAGCTGAGGAGACTCTGTATACCCTGCAAGAAAGCCCAGTGAGGAGAGGGAACGTGAGCCACAGGCAAGGGCACACAGCACAGAGGCCAAGAGCAAAGGCCCTGAGCTGTGCGGTCCATTTCAACTACAGCTTCGCCCCCCTCAGGCACGATCTGCAACCGCTGAAATCTCTCTAAATGAACTCATCCCAGCATCCCAGGCTGTATTAGTCAGGTCACCACACACAGCAAGGGTCCTGTACAAGATTACCAAGCACATGAGTGCAGGGAAAAGTGTCTCTTTTAGGGGTCTGCAGTACAGCACTGTCTTAGAACCACACTGCTGCCATCTTCAGTGCCTCCGGGCATGCTCACAGAGGAGCCTACCAACTGGGCCTGTTGATTGTTTACCTTCCCCAGAAGGGGTGAAACAGGAAGGGTCTTGAAGTCCTCAACCAATCTCATGCAATTCTGACACAGCAAATAAGGCCTGGGTGGGGGTGGGGTGGAGGATGGAGGGGAGGAAGAAGGGGAGGGGGTCTCCATCTACACAGCTGTAAGGAAACCATTGTTATTACTGCGTGCCACCCTTCCAAGGTGGCTGCTTTATGGTCTTGCTTATATGCCTGTCTATAACCCTTCTCCATTTCGAGGTCAGGAAGCACCAGTAAACTCATTGGTTTCTCTGGGTGAACTTGGTGGACTCGTTCTTTGGGTTGTCCTTGGAGCCTAGGAGGAGCGTGGGTATTGTTTGTGTCTCCGGTCACGGAAAGAACTTTACCAACAGAATTTCCAGTGAGGGTGGGATATCTTGCACACAATAAGTACTCAGAAAGAGTGCATGTGTGTGTATACATGTATCCTGTCAGTCTGCATGTGTGTGTATACGTGTATTGTGCCAGTCTGCATGTTTTCAGCTGGCGAATCTCGGCAACTGAGACTGTCAGATAACCCAGGCTGCCAGGCCCCACGCACCGGCCTGCACTCCACTCCTGCCGGGTTAGGGCATCTTTCTATTCCTACACAAGCCGAGGCTGAGAACATGCCTTGGTCACTGTTTCAGGTGTCAAAATTCCCTCCTCCGTGGGCTGTGGCGAGGGTGTCAGGTAAGAGGGTCTCTGTTTCCGCCTCCCATCCTTCTCCATCAGGAGACGAGGTCGGGTGTTCCGAAAGATCTGGACAATCAGGAGGTTGATGGGGAACATAAGGACAGAGCTCTCCAACCCAATCATCACCTCCTGCCAAGTGAACTCAATTTTGCCTAAAGAAAAAAGGAGGGAAGGAGATGTCAAATGGAGACAGATGCCCAGAGTCCCCTCTTCCCTCTCAGCAGAAGGCAGCTACACAGTGAAGGACCAACCAAGTAAAACTCCTGAGACGTTATCCATGAGCCTTTAGATGTCCGAGCTTACTCCGAGCTATGGGCTAAGCCAGAAGTCCATGCTAACATGGCAGTCACCACAAGCCTGGGTCGGATGGCTCAGCTTCCCTTTGCAGGGCCACAGGCTAAGGTCAGCCGGGAAGGTACGTGGACAAACACATCTACTTTGTCCCAGTGAAGACTGAATCAGGGCACTGAGGAAGCAGCTTGGTCTATAAAGTGTTTGCCATGCAAGCTCGGGGACCTGTACCCTACGATCCCAAGCACCTCTGTAAAATGTCAGGTGGGGTGGCACCTGCTTATAATCCCAGTGCTGAGAGGAGGGACAGGCTGAGACATTTTGGCCAGCCAGTATAGCCCAGCTGGTGAGCTTAAGTCTTCCAAAAGTGAGGTGACTGACTCTCGGGGAGCAATGCCCTTGGCTGAACCCTGGTTTCCGTAAGCATGTGTACATGTGTATGCACATATGCATATAAAATACAAAGACTACGTCAAGTTAGGCATGGTGGCACACACCTGTAATGGTTAGTGACACCTGGTCCACAGAGACCTTGTCTCCAAATATCAGATTAATCAAAGAAAACTAACAATCTCCTTTAGATTTCAGCTGTCTTGCTGGGGTAGTGAGACTGGTGTCCACCAGCCCCAAGCATCAGAAGTAATCCCAAGATTTACCCAAGTCCATCTTCTGCTCAGCTGGGTCCTTAGGAACACCCCAGAACATGATGCTGGTCAGCATGGTACAGAGAAGCATCGAGAAGCAACACGACACCCTCTGCACACGCGTGAAGCTGCTCCGGGTGGAGTTGCAGAAGACTGAATACCAGATGTGTCCATCCTGGAAGCCCGTGGAGGTTTTAGTGAAAAACAGGTGACTGTGGACAGACCAGGAGGGAGAGGTGGAGACATTTAGGGAAGGAAACAGATATGCAAAGGGGCTGGTCTCTTAAAAATAATCCAGCACTTTGGAAGGCAGAGACGAGTGGAGCTCTATGACTTCAAAACCAGCCTGACCTATAGAGCTAGTTCCAGGACAGCCAGAATTATATACAGATATACAGAGAAACCCTGTCTTAAAAACAAAACAAAACAAAACACAAACAAACTAAACCCAACCTGGGATTTACCTTTAAGGTTTAGCATGTTTGAGGACCAGCAAGATAGTTCAATAGGTAGATGCTCTTACTACACAACTATGAACTACATTTTTTAAAAAGCTGGATTAGGTGACTTGTAACCCAGGGCACTCCAAAAGCAATATGGAAAGTGCAGACAGGAGATGTTCTCAGGTAAGCACCAGAGACCCTGCCTTAGAAATGAGGTCAGGCTGGAGAGAGCCCAGTGGCTAAGAGCACCCACTATGCACTGTTTAAGAGCTCCCATCATGTGCTGTTTGTTTAAGAGGACCTAAGTTTGAGTCCCAGCACCCACACGATAGCAGCTAACAACTGTTTGTCACTCCACTTTCAAGGGTTTTGACACCTTTCCTGGTCTCCAGAGCCATTACGTGAACATGGTGCGCAGATACATATGCAGGCAAATACATATGCAGATACATATGCATGCACATAAAATCTCAAAAAACTGAAAGGGAAGAACCAATTCTCAAAAAGTTGCCCTCTGACCTCTACAGAAATGCCACATCACAGACAAACACATTCATACACCACGTACATTTAAAAAAAAAAAAACTAGCAGATTGTGATTTTACTTTTGACACGGTTTTCTGTAGCACATGGTGGTCGTACAGTCGCTATCGGAAAGTGAATAACCTTGCACCCCTGACCCTCCAGTTTCCAGTCTGAGTGCTGGAGTTACAGACACATGCCTCCATACCCAGAGGCCCCGGGCTTTGCTAGGCAAGCACTCTAGCAACTGAGCAACATCCACATCGTATGTGGAATCCTAACCTGCCTTCCTTCTGCCCTGTCACCTCCGGCAGGTGACAGTCATCATTCTTCATGTCTCAGTTTCCTTGACTTTAAGATAATGACAAAACCTTCCTCCATGGCTGTTTGGAGGGACTTGGAGTCATAGTTATTGATTTGAGATGGGGTCTTGCGTAGCTCAGGCTGGCCTCATACTCACCGGAGCTTCTCTGTACCACTGTGTCAGCAAAATCGTCACCTTTGTAAAGCACCGAGGTAGCACTAACAAGTAGGTAAGTGGTCAGTGTGTGTGATATCTCTGCTGCAATTTGAATTTGATAAGATAGCTATAATATTATCAGTTAGGACTCATCATCCCCGCCCCCATCTATGTCAGCTTCTTGGGGCAGATTTCTAATCCCCCACTGGGAGGGGATGTCACCAGACCAGCAGATCTGCCCATTGAAGACAGGGAGTAAATTCCTCATCCATCCTGTGAGTTATGGCAAAGCCATTAGGAACACTGGCATGACGGAATATGGCTGTAATCCCGGTGCTGTGGGAGACGGAGGCAGGAGGAGCAAGAGTTCAACCTCATCCTTGGCTCACTGCCTGGGCTACACGGGATCCTCTCTCAAACAAAAGTAAAGAAGATTACTTGACCTAAACATACTCTCCCCAAAGGGTGACCATGGTTCATTTATTATGCTAAAGACAGAAGTGGCCAAACTTCCAGTAATACCATAGATGTAAAATAAGTGGCCTGAGTGATGGTTTTAGTCAAGTGTTTGCTGTATAAGGACCTGGATTTGATCCCCAGTCTACGTAAAAAGTCAATGTGGTGACGTATGCTTGTAATCTTAGAACTGTGGAGGTACAGACAGACCAAAAGGTTTCTGCGACTCCACGGCTGGCCACCATGGCAAAATGGCAAATTGTAGGCCAGTGAGAGAGCCATCTCTAAAAACAAAGTAGATGGCAACTGAGGAATGACCTCTGCCCCCGAAGTGTATACAAACACAACACAACACACACACACACACACACACACACACACACACAGTAACAATGTAGTTGATGTGTGTTCATGTAGCTATTACTGTCTGTTCGCATGTGTTTGCAGACCAGTGTGGAAGGAAGGCAAGGGAACAAAGAAGGAAGAAACAGAAAGGAAACATGAACTGAAAACTCATCTGTCATAAAACACAGAAAAGGGCCCCAAAGGGCCAGCAGCTAAATCAAAGTATATCCTACTTAGGGTCTCTGTTGCTGTAATGAAACACCATGACCAACAACAGCTTGGGGAGGAAAGGGTTTATTATATCTGACAGCTTAAAGTCCATCATCAGGGAGTTGAGGGCAGGAACCTTGAGGGAAGAATGGAAGCGCGGACCATGGAGGAACACTGCTCATGGTTGCCTTCCCTAGAAGAAACTCCTAAGGCATTATCAGAGATGCAGACACACTGGCTTGCTCAGCCTTCCTTCTTATGCTGCCCAGGACACCTCTCAGGGTGCTGCTGCCTACATTGATCTGGGTCCTCCCACACCAATCGCCAATCAAGAAAAAACATCACAGGCTTGCCCACAGGCCAGTCTGGTGAGGACACTTTCTCAACTGAGACTCTTTCACCCCAAATGATCCTAGGTTGTGTCACATTGACATAAAACTAAGCATCTCATTATCCAAATGACCATGGCCACTAACAGAAAATATCCTGCGACATCCATCAGGAAATGAATGAGGGATCCCTTCTCCTTAATCCCTGAAAACCACTTCTGGGTCTTACACTGCAAATCCCGATAGAGTCCCCATTCCAACAGGACGTTTGGACCAGCAGTGTCACATACTCAAAAGATATCCGGGCCACTGGTTGAAATGAGCTCTCGTTAGCATGTCTGGGCTCTGAGGCTATTTCCCTAAGATTAAAGAAGACAGTGAGGTACATTCACCGAAAAAGATAGAAAGGAAGTACCTAAACTGCTTCCTGTCCTGCTCTGTGGCCACAGGAAACACCTTGTCCAAGACACAATCTCCAACATCGATGGACAGCCACGAGTTGCAGAGGAAATACCATTTCCGGTCCACCACAGAGTCGTAGACCAGCACCCGGCTCACATACCTGAAGAAGGGAGACACAGCTCTGAGGATAAGATGTGGGGGTAGGACTCCCTGGAACATCACAGAGATAAGACCTTCAGAAAGTGAACCCCAAAACAGGCACACATGGAAAAGTGCATGTATGTTCTTCACTTGGTGTAGAGGTGACACTTGACCTCCCGTGAGGAGGTTATCCAGCAGAGAGAGCCAGCTTAGCTTTGAAGACAGCTACTTGTTCTCAGACAGGCAGCTGGGTGCTGGAAGACACATTTGAAAACTCTGGGCCCCTATTGGGTACACCTAGCTATAAGCAAAAGAAGCCCCATGAGTAGCGTGCTCCAGCAAGCTTTCTCAAAGCCTCAGAAGAGGAGATATCTTGCTTGTCTTAGGAGGCGTGGGCTAACAGCAGCTTTTCTGCCACTGGCTAGCCAGTAGGAAGATGGCTGCTTTCCCCTGGATGCTGAATACCAGTTGTCACTCTGCTGTACACATGTCTCTCGTTTCCACAAGCACAGCTCTATCAGGGATGCAAAGGCCACCTATGTCCAGGCCATGGCCCTCCTGGGTGACTGACATCCAGTGATGCAAGACCTGGACATTTTGATCCAACTTGGGACAACTTCTGGGATCCACAAGGGTGGGCTGAGCTGTCACTGTACTAGGCTGTACCATTGTTTGATACCTCCTTCTGCCTATCCCAGGCCTGGCCTCCCTCTACACTTGCTGATGCTAGGGTTTCTTCAGTAGACACCCGACATGTTCCCTTGCCTCTCAGAGTCTGCTTCCTGCAGATGCAGTGAGTTAAAGACAGCAAGAAGCCTGGTGTGGTGGCTCATACCTCTTACTCCAGCTCTCCTAGGCTGAGACAAGAGACTGCCAGAAGTTCAAGGCTAGCCTAGGTTACCGAGAGTGTATGTTCTCTCTGTCTGTCTGTATGTCTATCTCTATCTCTCTTTCTTTCCGACTTTGGTTTTTTGAGACAGGGCTTGTCTTAAATTGTCTGTTGAGCCAAGGATGGCCTTGAACTTCAACCTCCTGCCTCTCAAGTGCTGGGGTTATGGTTGTACACTACCCAGTGTCTTTTTAATTTTTTATTTCTGAAATAGAGTCCGTCTATATAGTTTGGGCTATCCTGGAACTCACTATATAGACCTTGAATTCACAGACATCCACCTGCCTCTGTCTCTCAAATGTTGAGATTAAAGGCGTATCCTACCACACCTGGAATGCCCAGCATTTTTGTGATTAAAGTCTCATGCTCTAGTCCAGGTTACTACAGTGCTCACTATGGCTATCCCAGAACATGTTTTTTTTAAGGCTCTGCATGCTGATACCTGGTCTTACTGACACTGTTTGTCTGATTCACTCGTTTTGATCTCAGGAAGAATTGATAGGACCTTGCTCTGAATGTGTAGCTGTGTGTGATCTTGGACAAGTCTTGAGTTGACACTACAGAAAGGCCAGGGGCAGACCCAGTGCTGGACCCCAGGGATGCCTCTCTTCTTGTTTGGTTTCTATGACCATGAGCCAGGGGTCTCTCTGTCCTTGCTTGTCTCACTTGTACCATGATATTCTATGTGTTTGTAGAGGTGTTGATGCAGGCATTGAGGCCAGACTGGCCGAGGAAGGCCCTGGTCATTTGCTGTCTCCCAGCTCACCATGATGGCCGGTCCCCAGAGTTGTCATGCCACAGCCTGAGGCTCCGAAGTTCTCCCAGGGGGAACAGAGTGGAAAGCAGGAAGACATCAACCCCTCCTCGCTCAAAAACTGCAGCATCAGGGTCGGACAGGTGGTGGGGCTCACTCTCTCCATCCGAGCCATACAGGGTGAGAGTCACCTAGAGGCCAGACACCAGAAGCCGGGACTGTAGCTCAGTAGGTGCGGCCTTTGCCCAGCCTTCAGAAGTGCTGTGCTTGATCCGAGCACTGCACAAAACTAGGCATGCAGATACAAGCACAGACATTCACACGCACACACTTACACACATACACTCACACATACTCACTCTCACACACTCATACTCATACACATACATTCATACACACACACTCATACACTCACACATACACACACTCATACACTTACATATACACACACTCATACACTCACACACACTCATACATTCACACACACACACACACTCATACACACACTCATACTCTCACACATACACACACTCATACACTTACACATACACTCATACACTCACACACACACACTCATACATTCACACACACTCATACACTCACACATACACACACTCATACTCTCATACATACACACACTCATACACTCACATACACACTCACACACTCACATATGCATACACACACGACATACAAATACATTCATACACTCCCACTCATTCATTCACACACATACTTATACACACACATACTCACTCACACATACACACTCACACACTCATATACACATACACATTCACACACAAGATTATTCTTTCCCCTAAAACACGAAACGGAAGGAGGGCACCAGCAACATCAAACCATGGAGCCAGATACACTCTACAATGACAGCCACCTCTGCACTGGGGACAGACACACACGCCAACCACAGGTACCTTTGAAGATGTGGCTGCCCCTCGCCGGTGTCCGGTGTAGACTGTCACTAGGTAGTGATATTGGGCAAAGGGATCATTATCCTCCAGCACTATGACTTTCACCTGAACAGAGGGACAGAGTTAGTGGGACCCTACTCAGTGATCTCACCCATCACCCAGCAGCTAAGAACGAGTCAGTCGCCCATGGCAACGAGCATACAAAAGCAAAACTACGTTCATTGTCATCTGATCCAGTGAGAACTGTCCGTTATGAAAGCAGGGCTTCAAGAAAAATACCAGCAAAGGCAAGGATGCATCAACTGCTTCATTGTTAACTGTGAACTGTAGGGTTAAGTTGGAAATAGGCTGGGCGTTAGACTGAGAATGTTCTGTGTGAGGTACAGCGAGCCAACTGTTTAGACAATCAGAGTTGTTCCCCAGGAAATTCAGAAGAAATGAAATGTCCAGATGTTTTAGCAAAAGCGTCAAGTGACCTGAGTTATCTGGGGGCTGTGGTGACCTCTGGGTCACGCTGCCCTGCTCTCCCCCGCCATGAAAGGTTTACATCAGCTTCTGAGGCACTGCTTCCAAGGATGCAGAGTCATCTCTGCCACAGACATACTCCTTGGGGACAGCTGAGAGTCAATGACCCATCTGTGAGGTATGTGGGTGTGACTAAGACCTGTGCATCTCAGCCCAGCTCTGTCAGATCTCCTCAAGGACTGACAAGCTGTCACTGCTGCATGGCCATCCTGCCAGCTCCCCAGGGGCTCACCCTAAAAGTTTTATTAGAGCACCCATAGCATTAACTCCATTTTAGAGCCTGCCTTCTGGGAGTCAACCTGTGACATTTAAGATGTATTATATAAATCATATGTATTATATATATTGGGGTGTTTCTTTATTGAGATACAGTCTCACTATGTAGGCTTGACTGACCTGGAGTTCTCTATGTAGACCAGCCTGGTCTTGAACTCATAGAAATTCATACACCTCAGCCTCCTGAGTGCTGGGATTAAATGTGTGTGTGTGTGTGTGTGTGTGTGTGTGTGTGTATGCATCTAGTGTGTATGTGTGTGGTATGTACGTGTATGCATCTAGTGTGTGGTATGTGTATGTATGCATCTAGTATGTGTGTGTGGTGTGTGTGTATGCATCTAGTGTGTGTGTGTGGTGTGTATGTGTGTATGCACCTAGTGTGTGTGGTGTGTGTATATATATATGTGTGTGTGTGTGTGTGTGTGGTATGTGTGGCATTGTACAAATGGCCACAATGTCCAACGAGGTCAGGATAGTAGAATAGTGCATCAGATCCCCGGAGAGTTTGTGTTACAAGTGGTTGTGAGCTGCCTGGTGTGGGTTCCAGGCATGGACCTCGAGTTGGTCACTCTGCAAAATCAGTATGTGCTATTTTAGTTATTTGTTTTTATACATATGTGTATTTTGCCTGCATGTGTGTATGTATGTACATGCATGTAAATCCCCTGGAACTGGAGTTACTGGAGTTAGGGACGGTTGTGAGTAACCATGTGGGTGCTCAGAACTGAACCCATGTGCTTTGCAAGAGCAACAAGTGCTCTTAATCCTGGAACCATATCTAAAGGCCCATTTTTGTGGTTTTTGTCTTTGTTGTTAAGTTTTTAAGACAGGGTCTCATCATGTATCCCTGTGTGGCCTAAAACATACTGTGAAGGCCTGGAAAGATGGCTCAGTGGTTAAGAGCACTGACTGCTCTTCCAGAGGTCCTGAGTTCAATTCCCAGTAACCACATGATGACTCACAACCATCTGTAATGGGATCCGATGCCCTCTTCTGGTGTGTCTGAAGATAGTAACAGTGTGCTCATACAAATAAAATGAATTCATAAATCTTTTTTAAAATAAAAAAAAAAACCATACTGTGTAGACCAGACTTGCCTTCAACTCAGAGATCCTCCTGCCTCTGCCTCCAAATGCTGGGATTAAAGCCTTGCTCCACTGTACCAGGCCCAGTGTGTGCTCTTTACTGCTGAGCTATCCCTCCAGTCCCAACCCGAGACATTTCAATATCAAAGTTTGGTCTCACAGAGGAATCAAGGACAGCAGTGTGAATGCTGAATGACATCTTATGACATCTAATTCTGTGATGTTATCCCTAGTGATGGATAGGGAGGGGGGAGGCAATGACAGACAGCCTCAAGCTCTGTCACACTGAGCCTTCACGCTCACCTACGCATTCCCTCAGACGTTCGTGAACATAAACGGTTGGTACCTGCATGCAGTGAGTACTCAGTTGATGATGGACAGCACGGTCTCCCTGATAATTTGATGTTAAGTGCTCAATGTTCTGTAAATCCATAGGTTGACAGGCCAACTCACCAGAAATGACCCCAGGAGTTAAAGTCTGAACTACCACAGTTGGCTTCTCCACAGACCCCTGGCTTCCGGCTTCTACAGCCCATGCTCCCCCCAACTCCCAGGAACCCAGCACCTCACCTTGGCCTGATCCTGTATGTCCTTTCTCCTGGCCCAGATCACCACCAGCACATAGACCATGCAGAGGCAGCCCACTGTGCTAACCACCACGGGGTTGTCCTTAAAGGTAGCAAAGAGCTCGGCAGTCTGGTGGACGTCAATGGCATTTGGCATCACCAGGAACGCGCTTCCGAAGAAGGTGAGGTGGTTGCAAAGGCAGTGTGTCTGGGAGGTGGTGGTCCGTGGGCCCACCTGCAAACCCCAAAGAGGTCGTGTTTGGGAAGCACGTCTGCTTCAGCCCAGTGAAGAAAAATGATGAACACCTCAGTGTGGGCGCCACACTGTCAGCCTTTCAGACCCACGGATTTAACCAACCTCTGGTCAAAATTATCTTTTTAAGGGCTGGGGATGTAACATGGTTGGTAGAGAGCTTGCCTGGAATACATGAAGCCCTGGACTGAATCAACATCACACAAAATGGATGTGATGGCGCCCATCCGTAATCCCAGAACCAGAAGGTAGGAAGACCGGGTGTTCAAGGTCATCCCCTGCTACATATGCAAGGCTAACCTAGGCTACACAGGACTCTGGCTGACTCTGGCATCAAATCTGCCTGGAGCTGGAGTTACAAGTGTTTTCGAGCTGCTGATGTGCATGAACTTGGCTTCTCCTTGAAAGCAGCGAGGGTCAGAGTCCAAAGTCCCGGAACCGAAATGGATGCAGAAAGGTGGACCTGTTAACCTGCCTGCAATTCCAGCCTCAGAAGGGGGAGACAGGATCCCTGGAGAAAGCTGGGTACTGAGCCTAGCCATGTCAGCGAGCTGTGGGTGTGACTAAGACGCCCTGCCTCACTGAATGAGGTGGAGAATGGAGGGTGAATCCTAGCATCAACTTCTGGCCTGTATACACATGGGTGCACAGACAAGTGCACCCACCTTCAAAAGTGCACACACACACACACACACACACACAGTTAAAAATGAAAATCCATTATCAGAGAACATTTTTTACTTTCATTGTGTTGAGGATCAAAACCTAACCTTCCCAGTGATGTTTTATTTGTTTGCTTCTTCCTTCCTTCCTTCCTTCCTTCCTTCCTTCCTTCCTTCCTTCCTTCCTTTCTTTTTCATTCTTTCTTCCTTTCATTCTTTTTATTTTTATGTATTTATTTATTTTTTTGGTTTTTCGAGACAGGGTTTCTCTGTGTAGCCCTGGCTATCCTGGAACCCACTCTGTAGACCAGGCTGGCCTCGAACTCAGAAATCCACCTGCCTCTGCCTCCCAAGTGCTGGGATTAAAGGCGTGCGCCACCACTGCCCAGCCATTCTTTTTATTTTTGATTTTTGTTTGATCTGCTTGCCAGGTGCTAGGATCAAAGCTACATACTACCACACTGGGCTTCTGACACAGGGTCTTTCACTGGCCTGGAGCTCACCACTGAGGCTCAACAGTTTGGTCAGGGAGCCCTAGGGAGCCGATACCAGACTCTGCATCTCCACAAACGATACCTGGTGCTTTCACACACAACCCAGGACTCGTGCTTACAAAGCAAGCACTTGTCAACTGGACTATGGCTCCAACCCCAGGGAGTGTATTTTAAAGGGCATCACAAACATCTGGGAGCTCTCTTCTGTACTCAGAGCCTTAGGTTTGACCGAGTGAATCCCGTGCCTTCTCCCCGCCACCGCCCTGATCCTGTTTCTGGCTTCCATCTTATGCGATACCCTTTACAACCAGAGGGTTTAACAGTGATTCCCTTTGACAGGTGGAGCCTGCTCTGTAAGTTAGTCATTGTACAGAGTTGCTTGCACCCCTCAGCCCCACTCAACTTGACCCCGTTTTGGCTTAGAGAGGCGGGGCAACTTGCCCAAGTTCATCCAGTGAGTATAAACTAAACTCAAGTGTATTTGGTGGCAGACTGAGCCCTAGGGTGCATCCCATGTTAGCCATATAAGGTAGCTTTGGGAAGTGGGTGCTCTGGGAGGTCCCTTCCCATCCAGGCCAGATCCTGAGATGCAAAGGCTGGTGCCTGGAGCCTAGGCACCTTCTATCTCTTAGGGCTATCTTTGTGCTATTCCGATCCCTCCTTGATAAAAATTCAATCACTATAAGGCCATTCTGAACCTCGACAGTCGGGGAAATTGTGTTGTCAATGGTGATGATTTGGCCTTGGGCAGACCTGGCTCTGAGGCACAGGTCCTTTGTATGTGGCAGTCAGAAGCCAGGGTGGGGACTGACGAGGAAGCTGTTCCTACAACAGATACAGCTCAGAAGGGGCTCACCCTCACCGTCTTCCTTCCATAACTATATGTCAGCATGGCCCTTGCTCTGTGTCCTCAGCTAGGCTTCTAATCCGATGGTTTTTCTCACCAATCTACCCCCACCACTGGGACAGGGCGAACAGTTTCAGTCAGTGAAAGAAGGTGGCACGCCCATAGATGCAGAGAGGAGAGGGAGAAACTTGGCTTCTCCACAGAAGCAGCAGATCTTGGTAGGGCACGGAATGGTAGAGAAGTCCAACAGTGGGTAACAGAGGCAGCCGGAAGGGTTCCTAGGAGAGGGGGGCTCTGGAGTAGGAGGCCAGAAGGTGGGAGTCTGCTGGAGGGAGGGGGCTTCTGGAGCTTTCTAGATAGAAATAAGGAGAACATAGAGCATTTAAGGGAGGTCACCTTATATGACTCATGATTGGGACACTGTGGTCCTATCCAGAGAGTGTTCGATGGCCTCAAAGCCAAAGTCTCCCTGCAGGTCAGGGTTGTGTGCCTCAACCCTGTGGTGCAAAGTGGATAGAAATTCAATCACAATAAGGCCATTCTGAACCTCGGCAGTTGGGGAAGCTGTGCCGGTCACGGTGATGACTTGACCAGGGACAGACCTGGCTCTGAGGCACAGGTCCTCTGTATGAGGAGGAGTGTGGGATTTGGAAGCAGAGCCACTTGCTTTTCCTGATCCATTGTCTCATTGCCTGTGAAATGGGGACACCAGCTCTCCTGGGGCTATCTGAAGTGCTGATGAGCTAACGCTGGTAAAGGTAAACTCAGGACACAGTTGAGGTCATGTTCTGGGAAGTGACATCCTGGCCTGCCATGCCCCCACACACGATGGGAGTCTTCTGGATTACACCTATTCTTACTCAGTGATCTTGAACTTCTGGCTCCTAAGATGGGCTCAGGTAAGAGGTGGGGGACCACGCTGCCAAGCAGGGTGAAGCAGGGAGCATGCGCCAAAGTTTATAGCAGGAAATCTGACCTAGTCAAGGCCGTGAAGCTTTCTCAAGGAAAATGGACTTGGCCGAGGGAAAGGAGGACATTCTGAACACAAGAATGGCATATGCAGAGCACCTTGGGGAACCGAGAGACATTGTGCCAGAGGCTCCAAATGGGACACCACAAGAGTAGACACACCCACCAAGCCCCCCCAGCTTATTCTTCATGCCCTTACCTGGCACCCAGAGTTGTCCCAGGTCTCCTGGGTTTCATCCCAGAAGACACAATGCACCAAGAAGGTGGTAATGCCAACTGTGAGGTTCCTGACAGAGGGAGACTCCAGACCATCCGTGGGGACCACCCTCAAATAGTAGATTCCTTCTCCAAACGGCAGGTCCTCTGGGTGCAGGATCCATGTGGGAAGATCACCTGCAGGAAACAAGGCTCTGGTCTCATTGACACTAGGGAACACCAAGGTTATAGACCTTGAGCCGGCTCCATTATGCCAGGAGTACATTTGCTCGGTATGCGGGGGCATTTGGGACACAAAGGGCTTGTGTCCTTACTGGCTATATGATATCAGACTGGTTCTTGAGTGTCTGTGTTCTTTTTTTGTTTGTTTGTTTGATTTGTAGTTTTGAAACAGAATCTTATGCAGACCAGGCTGGCCTCAAACTTGCTGCTACATAGCCAAGGTTGGCTCTACTGTCCTACTGGTCCTCCTGCCTTAGCCTCCCAAGTGCTGGGATTGCTCGGCACCTGGCTAGACCCCCCTCTGCTCATACCTGGAATGTGCAGATCTCTACAGCTGGCCTTGGAAAGTTATTTATGGGTTCATCTGCATCTCCATTGCATGTAATAAATGTTTATTTAATTGAGGGCAAATATCACCAATAACATCAGCCCATGAAAACTGCTGAAGAAGGTGGGCAGTTTGTTATTTGCTTTTTCATTAAACAATTGTGTCTTATATGTGTGTGTGTATACCTGTGTGTGTGATGTGTGTGTACCTGTGTGTGTGGTGTGTGTGTGACTGTGTGTGTACATGTGTGTACCTCTGTGTGTGTGTGTGGTGTGTTTGTGACTGTGTGTGTGTACATGTGTGCATGTGTGTGTGTACACATGTGTGCACATGTGGAGACCGAAGGCTGACACTGGGTGCCTTCCTCAATGCTTCTCCATCTTATTTCATGTTTTTAAAGATTTATTCTTATTATTTCTAATTATGTGCAGTTGGTGAGGGTGTGTGTGAATGTATGTGGGTGCCCACAGAGGCCAGAGGTATGGCTCCTTCTTTAGCTGGAGTTACAAGGGGGATTGTGAGCCACCCAGCACGAATGACTGGAACTGAGCCAGCATCCTCTGCAAGTGCAATGTGTCCTCTTAACTGTCCAGCCATCTTCCCAGCTCTGTGGTTTGTTTGTTTGTTTGTTTGTTTGTTTTTTCTGTTTGTTTCTTTGGTTGGTTTTGTTTTTGTTTTTCGTTTTTGAGACAAATTCTTTCACTAAAACCTGCAACCTCACAGATTCAGTGAACCCCAGAATCCCCCTGTCTCTGATTCATCCCCACCCAGGACTGGGATCACAGGCATAGGCTACTACATCAAGCTTTTTATGTGGTTCTTGAGGCTGGAACTCTGGTCCTTATACTTTGATGACTGAGCCATCTCCCAGCCTTGTCCTTTGATCTTTCTTTGACACCTTAGTTTGAAGCTGGCCACACCTGGGAAGCTCCTCAAGAAAACAGCCCAGGAAGCTGACTACCTGTGGCGGCTACGGGAGGCAGGTGTGTTTGGGCATCATAGCTGGTCTCATTGGGATGGTAGCCATAGCCCAGGCAGAGTGTGAGTGGGACTCCAGGTCTCCAGTCCAGCTGGATCCCCAGAGCTGTGTCCCTTGCCGTCACATTCACCAACAGAGCTTCACGGGTGGCCAGGCTCAGCATCTTTGGCTTGATGTGTGCTGAAATCCGGGGAAGCAGGATCTGTTTTCAGAAACAAAGAGTTCCAGCCAGGCAGCAAGTGGGCAGGGAAAGTGATATATGCCCAGAGCCCTGAGATGTCAGTGTGGAAGGGCTGATGTGGACAGGAAGATCTCTGCCTTGGGAGGAGAGAGGTGTCTTTCCATTCTCCCGGTTCTACAGGCCACCTGTGCTCCTAGGTTTCTGGTCCATTCCTCCCCTCACCCCAACCTCTCCCTGTGTCATCAACAACAGTCAGTGTTTCCCCTCAACTCTTCACCCCACCTGCTTCCCTCTTCTGAGTCTCCCTGTGACTCCACTGGGCCCCTGAATGATCTAGACTCAACAGCCCATCTCCAGGTCCTTAACGGCACCTTCCTGCCAAGTCCCCGGTGACACATTCACCAGTGCCATGGGCGACAGTGGAGACATCCCTGCAAACTATTAATCAGTCATTGAGAGGAAATGGCAGATGACTAGAAAAAAGTCAGTAAGTAGATTCTCTTAAAAGAATCTAAGTGCCCATTGCACCATGGCATGTAAGCATTCTTGCTTGACTTTAAAGAGAATCTAACGGCGTTTGGAGACTGCACCATGAACCTTTGAAATGAGCTTTTGGTTTGTGCGATGACTAGAATTCCACCGAACAGAGTTATATCCCCAGGAGAACTTGTCACACACCAAAGATGGGTGAATGGCCATATATGCATGGTTTTAAGTCGAACACAATGTTTCATAGTGTAAGGGGCACACTGAGTGGTTTCTCTCTCTTTCACAGTTGTTCTCACAATGGATCCGTTTGATCCCAAACCAAGCTGAAGAGAAGGCCACGTGCCACCCAACTGCTGCTAATAGTGCAGCACCTACCTCGATATTCTGGGACAGGTTCTTCACTGGGATGGGATGGCCCCTTGAGCTGGTCAGACGAAGTCCACCAACCGTTCCGCTGACATCAAATTGGCTTCGGGAAGGGAAGGGGTTCTGTGAGAAACTCATCATCTGAAAGCCAAGAGCAAGAAGCCCTGATGAGGGTCAGGGGTGAACAGGCCCCTGTGTGAACAGTGAGATTTTGAGGCTGGTGACTGGCCCTTGCTCTATGGAGTAGATGCAGGGGCCTGCCTCTAACTGATGGTGCTTTCCAGAGATGTGGTCTCAAAGGGATGGCTCCAGGAATCAACAAGTCTTTCTTCCCCCAGAGTTGATATAATTAGATCTCCACATCTTCAGTTTTAAGTCTGTGGACTCTACTAAATGTGGACGGAAAATATTTGAAAAAAAATGCATTTGTACTAATGGGTACTGATTTTTTTCTTGCCATTCTCCTAAATAATACATTAACATTAACTACCTACCTAGCATTTACATTGTATCAAAACTGTTACAAGCAACCTGGACTTGATTTAAAGTATATGCAGAGGTGTAGGCTGGCATAGTGCCTTTAACCCCAGCCCTCAGAAGGCAGAAGTATGCAGATCTCTGTGAGTTCAAGACCAGCTTGGTTTACATAGTGAATTCCGGGCCAGCCAAGACTACATAGTGAGCCTTTCCCTCCTTCCCCGTCCCCTCTCTGCATATATATGTCTGTGTGTGCACATGTATATGTGTTTGTATGTGTATATATGTATATGTGAAGCTGTGCATAGGTTTTGTGTGACTGCTATACCATATTATATAAAGGACCGAGCAGCCACAGACATGAAACTTATGTTTTCAGGCATCCTAAAACCAACTCCATGGGTACCAAGGGTAGCAAGAAGTATCTCAGAAAAAGATGTTGGTCTATTTTCACTTGCATCCAGGGAAATCAGATGTGCCTTAATCTGGGATGAAAAGGGGTCTTGGTCTTTTCATGTCTTAGTTATGGACAGAAACTTGGAGAGCTTCGCTATCGACTCATGAAGCCAAGGCTGCTGGAGGACACTTGCAACCCTGCTGGAAATAGAATAGACTTGGGTGTCCAGAGCTGTGGGGGCTGAGTGCCCCTGTGCTCCTGGCTGAGGCTCTGGTGAGATGCTGAACCTCGGCTGTAATGGATGGGGCCAAAGCATCATCAGCAAGCAAATACAAGGGCCAATGCTTTGCACATGATCAAGGCTGTCTCCAAGGATGCATTGTTGGGTTACCCTTATGTCCACAGGCTCCTGGCTGTCCTCCACAGGGCACAGGAAGGTAGCTGCAGGCAGTGTGAAGGTCACAGAGTCAGTGGCAGCAGTGTGCACCGAAGAACCTCGCCAACTCCGTGGCTGTATTCTGACCACAGGGGGAAGAATAGGAAGAAAAGAAGTTGGTATTTGAGGAGGAACCCGTGTTGTACGCTTGGATAAGGAGAGGTTCCACTTTATTGTCAGAGATGGCTGTGTTAGTGTTTAGCAGCTTCTGTGTTTCAAACGCAGAAACATCAGAAGCTGCTGGTGCCCCCATGTGGATCGGAGGTCCTTGAACAAGCTCGTACCAAAGATGCTTAGAACTGACTCTCGATCCCTGGTATAGTGTCAGTACTTAACAAGTGGCTGGCAAATCACTTCTCTAAGATTCTCTCCCCTACCTGCCTTGACCTTTGAGACCAGGGGCTTCCAGCCCCGTATTTTTCTGGCCTTTGTCCTTGGTCCATCTGACGAGACCAGGGACCTGTTTTCAGAGCTGGATACTGCTTATGGAATCTACCACTGGGACCCAAGAGAACCACCATGGTCTGAAGAGTCAAGGACCAGGGCTTAAAGCTCGCAAGGCTTGTGGGGCCCAGGGAACACACAAGCTCCTCCCACCCCCAAGGATATACAAGCAAGTAATAACTGTTGACAAGTGGGGCTCTTTTACTCAGTTGTATACCTACCCATTCATAAGTTGCCATGCGCCTGTAACTAACGTCAATAATTATCAAGTTAGATAGACTTGGGTGAAACTATTTCTATGTTCTGTTGTTTCCTTCTATATATGGATAAATTAAAATAGCCACCAGGCTACCCATGGTGGCTCATGTGCCTATAAAACCCAGCACCGAGGCAGGGGAAGAGTGATTACTGTAACTCTGAGACCAGCCAGGATCTACACAAATAATCCCAAGCCAGCCAAGGCTACACTGCAAGACCTGCTCCCGACAAATAAATACACAACGACACTAGAGTAACTTCCCTGGAAAACACACACAACAGAAAGTATCTTGAAGCCCCACCCCCACCCCCCAGTCAGCGCTAACTGATACAAACCTTCCTGGAAAAGCTCAGGCAAGTGTGTCTGGGATTGCCACAGGCTCTGTATAATAATGGGATAGCCAGGGCTACCCATGACACAGTGAGAATCACGTGTGTGAGGAGGTAGCCCCCCTCATTAACCCCCTAGCCTGCACAGCTCCGGTGATTCTAACACTGCCCTTATCCCTCCATAGCTGCCTTTCTGTCCCGTCCAAACACCTACCATAGTGAAAAGACTCCATTACACCCCCGCACCAGGCTCAGATCCCAGAACTTCTCCAGCTCTGAGACTGGCCTTTGGGTCACACCTTGGGTAGCTTGGGATGTGGGTTAGGGCATGAACTTTCTTGGGCATGCATAGTGGAGCTCAGTACCTGTCTGTGTACACAGAGATGGAGGGGGTGGCCAGGATGGTTGGAAGGCCTCCTGGCAATGTCCCCAGCAGGAGGGCACTCTGCAAATGGTCTATGACCCGAAGCAGCTGGGCCACAGTGTGAGCCTGGAAAGGAAGCAGAACATGACTGGACTGTCATCATAGTCCCCTTGGCTGCTGTCACCAGGTTAGTGTGGTACTCTTAGCAGGGACTGGGAGGTGATAGACAAAGACAGCGTTGCAAGTCATAGGCAAAGCAGGCATCTCTAGGAAGTCGGGACATCTCCTGACTCCTGCAGGGTCTTCCACCCACACAGCAGCTCCCTTTCCCTCCGCTTGGTGAAAGAGAAGAGGAGAGGACACAGAAAAGAGGTGACTTAGGAAAGTCACATATTGGTGAGATGAACCAGGCTCTCAGAGAACCTGGCCTCAGGATCCATATGAAGAGCCACTGTGCTGTGTGACACTTTGCTGTATGACTGTGCTATAGGTACGGACTCGTGGCCCGGGTCTTGCTCTAGCAGTTAAGAGCCATAGGCAAGGCTCAGCTCCCTGCCCTGTCCAAACCCCGAAATCAGACTCATTTGGTGCCAGTTAGTTAGTTAGTTCAGTGGATAGGAGGCTCGCCACTAAACCTGACAACTCGTGTTTCATCCCAGGGACTTGTGCACTCGAGTAGATTGTGAACATTCCATCTTACACGGTGGAAGGAGAGAATCGATTCCCATGGCTTGTCCTCTGACCTCCACATGCATGCTGTAGCCCCTCAAAAAGATCAATGTTTAGAAATGTTTTGACACATGCTCATGATGACAAACAAGGCTAGGGTAAGGGTCAGCCAAGGACCTAGTAGGGTATGTGTGTGTGTGTGTGTGTGTGTGTGTGTGTGTGTGTGTGTGTGTATGTGTCTGTGTGCGTATTTATGTTTGTGCATATCCATGACTGTACATGAGATATTGCATGTATGTATGTATCTGAGTGTGTACGTGCAAGTCAGTGTGAGCACCAGCGTGAAAATGTGAGTGTGTATGAGTGAATTTGGGTATTGTTCTGAGGGCGTGTGTTCAAGTATGTATGAGTGCACGTGGGCAAGTTGATGTGTTGCTGAAACTTCTTGTAGGGGCCTATATGCCACTGCGTTGTTGTATGTGAACGTAAGTCAGTGTCTGTGTGTATGTGCTTGAAGGTCCGAAGCATGTGCATTTGGGGGATTCCGGGGGATGTGCATGGGTATGTGACCATTGCCTGTGTGGCTGTGCGTATGTAGTTGTGAAGTACGTGTGTGTGTGCAAGGATGACCATGGGAGTCTGTGTTTGGTATCTGAATGTGTGGGCACATGTAAGACATCTTTGCACGTGTCTGTCCTCCAGGTTGTTGTTGTTATTGCTGTTGTTTTGGGTAGGAAACGTAACCCATTGGCTAGAAGACGGTGGACCAGCTACCATTTGGCTTTGTGGCTCTGCCATGATGCTATCCCGAGAGGCAGTACTCTGAAGGCCCTCCAGTGACTCTTGGAGTAGCACCGTACCTTATTTCCTGCTCTGGGTGGCTGACTCTTAAAGACATTCTGTGCTTTGGTTACAGGAACCAGGATACCGCCCATATAACATGTCCAGTGGACAGCTGATGGGGTGAGGCAGAGTGCCTTCAGGTACAGATGAGGAAAGGAGGCTTAGGGACATTGGGTGGCTTGGCTCCCAAGAGAGAGGTGGGATTCACTAAGCGCAGGACCCCTGTTCTATGTGCTGTGTGCTAGCCACACTTGCTTTCTAGAGCCTTCCTCCTTGCCTCCGAGAAGCATTGTAACCTCTGTGACTGTCTTCCCAGCTGGAGGTTGGCGAGAAGGATCTACCTAGCAACACCAGCATGAGCCGGGCATGCAGCATGCATGAAGCCTGCATCTGGTCCAGGGTACCCACCTGGCTGCTGTTGGCCTCCATAGGCTCTTCTGATCCATGGCTGAGGGAAGCTTCCAGAACACTCCCCACAGCCTCAAACATGGCCCTGGTGGCTTCCTGGCGTCTCTGATCCTCAGGACGAACCTTGATACTGGCTGTCAACAGGGCTTCAGTGGCATGCTGGAGAGCCTGGCTGGCTTCCCACTGTGATCACCCAAAGGAGGGAAAAATCAAGGTGAGCCCCTGCCAGAGATGGATCATTCAGAGGATAAGGAATATATTGGAGGGGTTCATCAGAGGGTCCAAGCCAAGGAAGAGCCTGACATAAGCAGCCTGACTTAAAACTGACTCCTTTCTCCTTAGCAGTATTGAAGCTCTTCTGGGAGAGTAGCCTGGTCTGCCTCTCCATCTTTCCCAGAGTACTTTGCACAATGTCTTACACACAACAGGCATTTGGTAATATTTACTGACTAGAGGGAGGTGGTACGGATGCAAGGAGAATGGACAGAGGCTGGCTGGCTGGAGGACACATGGAGGACAGATGGAAGAGCGATATAAATACATCAGGTAGACAATAGATGGATCGAGGATCCATGCAAATGGGTGGAGGACAAATGGAGAATGGGTGGGGGGTTTATAGAGAAAGGATGGATGGAGGATGGATGGATGGATGGACAGATGGATGGATGATGGATGGATGGGTAGATGGATGGATGATGGATGGATGGACAGATGGATGGATGATGGATGACAGATGGGCATTAACACTCATCCCAATTTTGTAATTTTATATGTTTGTGAAATTATTTGTTTAATATCTAGGTGCCCAATAGCTTCGAAGTACTATTAGGGCAGGTCCATGTGTGAGTGAGTTTGATGCCTGTGCACAGGCATTCCAGAAGCATTTGTAGAATGAGTAAATTAGTGTAAGCCTAATGTAGAGAAGGGGGAATGGGAGATATGTAGAGGGGTGTATGTGTGCAGGAGTGCATAAAACAGACACACGTGCAGATGGACATGTGTTACATCAACATCATAGGGCCCTGGGATAGTGCCAGCCTTGCTGGCTTCATACTGGGAGATCTGTGATGGCCCCTGGCAGAGCAGCTGGGCAGAAACAGGATGCCCCCTCTGTCTGTCTGTCTGTCTGTCTGTCTGTCTGTCTGTCTGTCTGTCTGTCTCCCTCTCTCTGTCTCTCTCTCTGTCTCTCTCTCTGTCTCTGGCTTTATGGCTTCCTTTTTTACTCCGGTCTGCCATAACCCTAAGGAACATGGTACTTGGCTATGATTCTTCAGGAGGATGATCCCTGAAGCAAAAGTTTGACTGTGAGTCATTGGTTTGAAGGTGATCCCAGGGAACATTCTAGAGGAGTGAAGAGGTGAGGATGGGAAGGGTCAGAGGTCAACATAGAAGGTGCTATCAAGCCTGTTGAGATTTAATCTGGGACTCAGTCCCACTCAGGACTTACCCACCAAGAGTGCCTAGGAGCTGAGGTACTTGTGCCCTACCTTCACCGGTCACTGAGCACTGTGTGAATCCCCTGCCATGTGAGCAGGTAGGGGAGCTCTGAGGGTCAGGGAGACCTCAGGCTAGAAAGGCAGGAGCCAGCAGCTGCCTGTTAGGTTGACACACAGTGGGTCAGCAGCAATACCTAGACACACACTTGGGACTGAAGATGAGTAGGATCCAGGTACTCCCGTTGGTGCTCACTAGCTAGCAGTAAACATATAGCCCATAATAAGCCCAGTGTGAGGCACCTGGGCCTGCCATGAACCGCCTTCCCTTGAACCACCCATGAAGTGCCCTTAGGAAGAAGATGGCAACAGTCTTGTAGCCCCAGGACATCGCCATAACAGAGGGACTTCTTTGATCTAGCCTCTAACGAGGTGCCACCCCCACACCATGGAGGGATGTGTGCCGTAGCCTGGCTCAGCCAGTGGAAACTCTTACCTGGGCCACAGGTGTGAGGTCCTCACTGCGGTGAGTCACCTGTCTCAGCACCTCAGCCAGAGCCTGGACCTTCTGCATGTTCTCCAGGCCAGTGGTGACCGTGGACAGTGATCTCAGCACAAGCTCTCTGACCTTGGAGAGGAGGAGAAAGGGCAGGAGATGAGCAAAACCTCAAAAGCACCGTGAAGGCATTTCAAGAGAATTTGGGGTCCCAGGAGTGACACTGCCCTGTAGAAGAGGGAATAGCCAAAAGACCTTTGAAACCAGTGACCATGTTGCCCCACAGAAAAAAAAAAGAAAAGGTGCTTTGTCAAAAGCATTCTGAAGATATAGTTGAGTTTAGCACCTTCAAATGGGGAGCTCTTTCAGCAGTTACACGTGGGAACATGTGTAATTGCAAGGGTGTCCATAAAAGAGGCAGGAACATTGGAGAAGGAGATGAGGGATATATACAGAGGAGGGGAAAGGAGAGGATTCAAAAATGTGGTAAGGAGATGCTGGGGTGATAGCTCAATTAGTAAAGTACCTCGTACGGAAGAATGAAGACCAATGTTTGATCCTCTAGCGCCTATATAAATGTACGCACAGAGACATGCACACACACATACACGCACACACGTGTGCACATACACATGCACACACACATGGGAGTGCACACACACACACATAACAGGGAAAAGGGGACTAAGATCTCAGGACTGGTGATGACCTCCAGAAGCTAGAAAAAGTAAGGAGTAGCTTCTTCCCTAGGGTCTCCAGAAGGTTCTCAGCCTTGCCCAGGCATTCCTGATCACTTTCCTCCTCTGGTCCTCGGTTTTGTGATCTTTAGTCTGAGGGAGCCAGACTGACCCCCTCAGTCTTCCTTTGGATTCCAGAAGACTTTGACTTCATGGAGTTGGGCGGAGAAAGCGGGTTACCAGTAAAGAAGACATCCTCTTTACAAAAGCAGGAAGTGACTGTGACCACTGGGGGACACTCAAGGCTTCTCTGACTCATGAGCCCCACCCCCACCCAGGAAGCTACATGCAGACCTTAAAGGACCCATTTCACGCACTTTCCGCTTGATGTCCATTCTAAGTTGCCCAGAACCTGGTCTCTGCTCCTCCACATTGAGTACAGAGGACACAGCCTTGGCAAACAGGAGAAGCCGTTCACGGCCATGCTCATGGTGCAGAGCTGTGGCGATTCTCTCTGACACATTCTCTTGGAATGTCACATCTTCAACACCCATGTCACCGGGTCCCACCTGACAGGGGAACCAGAAACGGGATCAGTGGTCTTTGTTTGAGATGTTGGCCCCTAAAGCCATGGGTCTGGGAGCAGAGCAGGCCTAGCAGAAGAGCGCTTGCTCGAACTTCCAGAGGCTGAGGGGCACCTGGATACATTTGTATCAGGCAAGTGATGGAGTCCACCACCACATCTTGGGCAAGCTCACACTCTACCTCCAGCTGCTCTCTTCATCCCAACCATCCCCCCACCTCACCTGCTTCTGAGCCTCTGAGCCATGAACTCCTTTTGAGAGCTCTCCAGGCTCTGCCCAGAGTTCTGCTGGCTGATCATGGCTGCTCACCCATGCCCTCAGCTGCCTCCGAATGCCTCGTAGTTCCTGTAGTTCAGCCGCGTGGAGACATTTCGCAGTAAAGAAACACGAGCCATCAACCGCCACCCACCTTAACTGCCACTTGGGTCTGCTCTCTGTCCCCTGCCTGATTGGTGACCGAGATGACCACTGTCAAGACAAAGCCATCCTTTTCTTCTCCAAGTGGCAGGTACACAGCGGGGATGGCTGGTTCGGGGCCACAGTGGAGGCAGGAACCTGGCAAAAATGGAAACAGAGTAATTAGGAGGGCAGAGCCAAACCCCTGGCCACAGGGACAGAGAAGTCCCAGCTATTGGTGTGACAGCCACCCTGGAAATCCACAGGGTTGGGGGTAGAAGGCTACCACATAGCTTGCTGTACTTTTAAAACCATGTCCCTAAAGTGTATGAAAAATCGAGGGACTCCTCCCCATTTATAAGTGGCTTTCTGATTTTTGGGTTTTTGATTTTTGTTGCCTTGGTTTGGTTTTTAAATTTTAAAAAAAAGTTTAGATTTATTTTTATTTTACGTGTATAGGTGTTTTGCCCACGTGGGTATCTGAGCACCACGTGCATGCCTGGTGCCTAAGAGGCCAAAGAGGACGTTGGATTCCCTGGGACATGAGCTACAGACGTGGTAGCCCACCATATAGGTGCTGGGAATGGAACCTGGATCCACTGGGAGAACAACAAGTGCTCTTAACTGTTGAGCCATCTCTCCATCCCAGAGGTGGTTTGTTTTGGCATTTATTTAGTTAGTTAGTTTTTGTTTTTGTTTTTTTTAATGTGGTAAAACAAATTATGACATGAACAAAAACAAGTTAGGGAGTGGATGGAGAGAGAGGAATAGCAAGAGGAAGAGAATCAGCCTCCCAAACTCCACTCAGACCAGATCCACACCTCTCCAGGAACCAGCAACACAAGCTAGGCGGGTTTGTTCTGTTTTTGTTGTTTTTAAGTCTCTCTCTCTCTCTCTCTCTCTCTCTCTCTCTCTCTCTCCTCTCTCTCTCTCTCTCTCTGTGTGTGTGTGTGTGTGTGCGTGTGTGTGTGTGTGGTGTATGTATGATGTCGTTTATCTGGTATTTGATGTGTGTTATTTGTTATGGTGTGTGTGTGTGTGTTTCTGTCCACACTAAGACCCAGTCACTGTCACCTTAACAGCCCAGCAAACTGCACATCCTTTGACAAGGTAACCCATGAAGTCTACATTCCCTCAGAAGGGCTTACATCCACCTCAATGGTAAACAGAGTGAGCTGTCCTGCACCACCCACCTCTTCATACCCCCTGTCGGTCTGGGTGTGGTTGTCATGGCTGACATGGCTGACTGGATGATTGTCATGCTGTGTAGGTAGGGTCTTTGATGGTTCACCCTCTGTGAACCTCCATACCAAGAAAAAATGTTCTTTGAGATTTGCTTGTCCTGTGACACTGCCATTCTCTGCCACCACTTGCAAGTCAGGAGCAGTGAAAGTGCGGAAGGTTCTGAGAGCCAGAGCCAGCTCTGCTGTCGAGGTAGCTACAACTTCAGTCTCTCTCTCTCTCTCTCTCTCTCTCT